TGTGGTGTTTACTCAGTAATTTTGTCAGTGAGCAGTTTGAGTGACAGGAAACATAGGTAGCAAGAGAAGCTGTTTTTTTGAAAAAATACAAAGGAAATAACTCCTACCCTGAATGGCCACAGGAAACAATCTGTACTAAAAAAGGCTAACGAATAGGTTGTAGAGTTCAGGCTCTCTCCAAAAAAGCCATATTTCTATGTTTCACCATGACCATGCTTTTTCTTTTTCATAGGTAGTTCTGTTAAGGAGCTCAGCCATGTTTTAACTCTGTAGATCTTCATTGTTCCACAGCCAGTCCAAGTCAGTGTGTGTGGGCAACATCGTCTGTTCCTGATCTGAGAGAGATGAAAGAATCTGATTTCTGCAGCAGATCACTGCTGCAGAGATAGAAAAATATTTGTATGTACGTATTTGTTAACTAAAATACTGTTTACCTCATAAAGCAGTCATTAAGAAGTTTCAGGTGGCCCATTTTGAAGCTGCTTACTCACTGCTACTCCGCAGGTAACAAGTCCTTTATAAAACATGTTTGTACAACAAGCATTGTAGTAAAAATGTAAAAGGAATAATTAATAATGTAAATAAGGAATGATCCTGCCCAGAGTAAAGCATTAAGAAGCTTAACTGATGTTTGGAATGTACCACATGGAGATAGCTCTCTGAGGTTATATCTAAAAATACGTTTATAAATAAACTGAAATAAGAATACAGGCTCAAGCATTGGCCCAAAATCACATAAACTTTTTAGTTGTTTAATTGCATGCTTCCTGATACAGTTTGAACTGTGCCAAGTCACATTCTTTCAGACAATTTGGGTCCTAGCATGTGTTAAGAGACTGGTTAAAATAAGGAGTGGCAATGCCATCTCCCTGCTTCTGGGGAAAGAGGTCATCTGTGTGCCCATGAGCCACTTCAGTGCCACTTAGCTGTGGATCCAGAGAATGGTTCCTGGCTGGTATATTCTTAGTAATTTGTCTGTTTCACTTAGCAGTTAGATTGGAAGGAAATTGCTAATATGTTTTTTAGGAATGCAAAGGCAAAAAGGGATCAAAGACCTGTGTTGCTATTCCCATTCACCGCTCTAACCCTTGTAAATACTGAGTCTTGGCTATCCTAAAGGGTCATGAGACAATCAAGGTGTTTCCTGTGTCTTTCTTCTAAGTGTATTTTCCTTGTTCTAGTCATCTCTTCTTCACCTTTCAAGATTTCCTTTGCCTTTCCAAATCAAGATATTTGTTCATCTATCATTTGTCTGTTTTTATGAACCTGTGACAAATGGGTTTGACCTGTGCCTGTCTTGGGTAGTACTGCAACATAAGCAGCATCAAGTTGATTTGTACTACTCCTTATATTTTCCTTTTCCTACCTGTATAACAGAGAACTGATTGCCTGGAAAAAAATAAAAAATAAGGAAAAAAAAGATAAGGAAGTAGTTTGTTGCCTATGCTTGCTGTTTGTGTGCTGGGCAAGTGCAAATGCAGTTACTGGAAAGGTCTAGGGTGAGTCACCATTTCTGAGACGTCTTAAGCACGGAATGTGACATCCTGGATTGAGGTGGAGATGCCACTGCTGCTGGAACAAGCTCCACCTCCTGTTTGTACTCAGATGTTGCTACATATATTCTATATAGGCTTCCTGTAAACTTCTAGAATTTGTAAAACTCTGGAGTTTGTGTTACTTTGTAGTAACTGTAGTGGAGTAAATGTGGAGAAAGTCTTTGAACACTAACTGATGTTTCTTACAACAAAACCATGAAGTCTTGTGGTATTTTCTTTATGCATAAGACTAATGTTTTCATGGTAGCATTGGTAAATAGAGCCTTTTAGAAATCTCTTGAGTTTCGTGAGTTAATGACTGCCACAGCCAAGTGAAAATTTAGGCAGTCCTCTTGATGAAACACTGGCTTTTCAGTGTCATGATTTTACTGTGTTCTGACCTCTGTAGAGAAAGGAAATCCTGACTTCTAAAAATAAAATGCACTCCTATTTTAAGAATATAAAAGAAAAATGTTTCAGTTTGGTTAATATGATTGTTGAAGTTTTGTATGTGTATATATTTATAGTAAAACAGTGGTATTGATGTAAGACTGTTTATTTACTATTTATTTACTTATTTATTTATGTACATTAGGGTTAGGTCAACAGTCTTGTTTAGGTTAGATCAAGGTTACTTGTGTTTTAGCCAGTTAACAAACATTCAGTGTGACTCAGCTTCTCCACATGCTGTGAAGACATTGTTTAGCCCACACCCCTTATGTGTGCTGGATCAATATCTTTGTGCTGTAAAAGACTTCCAGGTTTTATCAAAGTTCTTGTTGCAGATGCTGGTATGATAATCAGTAAGGGCTTCTGAAAACCTAACTAATCTAGAAGAAAAAAACAGTCATCACTAAGACAATTCATTTTAATTTTAAGGAAAAGTTCTGTGATGACTGAAAAAATTAAAAAAACTCAAGTTTCATGACTTCCTAGAATGAAGCAACAGAAACTAACCCTTACAGATTATGTGCAAAATTGTAGCAACATATAAAAAGACAAAAACAGGAAGATGACTTTTTTTTTTCATTCTTAGCAGTGAGAATTCATTCGCCTGTATGTTTCAATTTTATTATGTCAAAAGAAGTATTTTTGCAAAAATATCACAGCAACAGACTTTTTTGACTATTGGACTACCTTACTAATTGCAATGAAAAATCATCATTGTTGAGAGTGTATGTTTTCCAGTTCTTCCAGGTTAAGTTCTTCAGTGGAAGGAATTTATTTTTCATGTGGTTTTCATTTGACATAGCTACTATGCTAATCTTTCTAATACATATTTATTAAACCAAACTGGTGAAGAGTTGTCTCACCTTAGAGAGTCTTATCTTTCTTTGAAGTCAGTTTTCTTTCTAAATTGTGTTTGCCAGAAAAAAAGGAGGTAGAATAGGTTTCCATTCAGATAACTGTGTATATGATTTGTTATTATTGATTAAATTTTGAAAGCTTGATAATTCATTTTGGAAATATGTTAGCACTTAGATACATTAGTTCTTGTAAAGTTTAATTCTTTAATAATAAAACCATTTGATTGTCACAAATAGTTTTAAATATCACTAACATTTTCTTCTGTCAGCTTCTCTTTGATCTTGTTTTGAGAAAGACTGTTAAAAACAGTGCAGTTATGGATGTACATAGTTCAGTTCATATTTGTGTGTGGCAAATGCCATTGAATGCCATTGAAATTCCTGTCTGATGCAATGGATAGTGGATTAAATGAATTATTGAATACTTATAATCAGACATTCTAGTTACTGAAATTTTAGTCTACCTTTTTTTTTGTAGTAACACTTGAAGGCTTTTTAATTGAAAATCCAGAATTTGCATAATCACTTGGCTTCTATATTGTTATTGATAAAATATTTTGGTGGATTTTCTTGAGATTTACAGTTGCTAGGGGTAAAAACACTTCATTGCTTCTGTGTTGTATCTGCTGAGGAAAGATTAGTGCTGAGGTTCCTTTTACCCTGTGTTTTATGGATGATCTGTTGCCAAAGTGCCCCCAATCTGGGCAATAACAAATTGGTTTATAATAACTTGTGATCCTGATCAGCAGTCATTTTCATCTGAAAATGTAATTGAATTTTGTATTTCTTTCAAGTCTTATGGGTAGATAATTGTGATGTAATGTTTTTAGAAAATGAAAGAAGCACACAGTTTCAGTGTGCTTATTGCAAATTACTTCAAATGCTAATAATATTTACACTTTTTACCATAAAAGCTACTACAATATCATATAAAATGTGTTCTATGGGAGTGTTTAGACAGCATTTTTTTTAATGCTCAGTGTTTGGAATAGAAGTCTGTTATTTGCCTGTTGCAGTTTCACTTGTTAGTAAATTTATTTCTTCACTTATGTCTGCACATATTTTGTTTCTGATTATTGGTGGAAAGGGTTGGTTAAAACAAAGGAGGAGAACTAATTTTAGAGTGTTTCCCTTGACATTTTTTTAAACCAAGACACGTGGGTATCTAATAAATAATATCAAGACTGGGGATAGACTTGAGTTGATATAGAAATTTTACTAAATTTTAAATCTGGAACCTAGAATTACTGGTAAGTGGTCATGTTAAAAAGCCAATATTTCTATTTCTAAAAAGCGGGAGGCAGGACACGTTTGAAATACACAGCTAAACTGTGGCAGTTGAGTTACTATGCTGTAAAGGTCATTTATCCAGTTTCACTTGTAAACTGAAGCACCTTTGACTGAAACACACTGAAAGGCCATTAAAGTGATTCATTTTGCTTCACACTTGGAGTAGGCAAACAAGGTGTTTATGGACAGCTTTGATATCTTAATTACTACTGATGACTTGTTAAGCAGCCAGAAATGCATCCTGTTTCTGAACCCCATGTAAACAAGTCTTCCACTCCTGATTTTTACAGATGCACTGTATTTTCTCATTATGGCAATAATGATGACCATTTTATTCTGGTAATTCTGCTTTAAGCAGTTATTATAGTGAAACAAGACCTTCAATTAGTATTGGGGAATTTAGCCCCAATACCATAGTTCCCCTGTTTTGTTTCATATTTAGCAAAACTCAGTGCTGTTTTTGGTGGTGTAAAACCTTCAAGCACCCTGGCTTCTTTTTGTTTTCTTTGGTCTGTGCATATCAGCATTATTGTTGGCAGGAATAAGCACAGCTGAAGGAATTTTTGTGACTTGCAACAGTTGGTCCTTATACAATGTTTGAAGAATTGCACCATCAAAATGACTGTTTGATGTGACAGTAGTGTATCTGGGGAAAACAAATTCAAACAGAAGATATTACTTGTATGTAATTTATCAAAAAATCCTGTGATTGAGTTTACTTTTTTCTACAGAATATAAAAACCGACACCTCATGATACACGTATTTCTACATACATAGTATGTGTAATATTGAAAATACTTTTTTTAGGTAGAAAAAGTAGAGCTATTTGAAAAGAGCAAATGGAATGGGAATATAAAGAGAGAGAAAACAATTTAAATCATAATTTATTTAGAGGGAAATGCCTGTGGTGCTTATGAAATCCAGTGAAATGAGAAAAATCTTGCAGTTTTTGAAAAGGATCATCAGTTCCCATTTTGAAGAATAATATTTCACTGCGTCTATAAAAGAAAATTCTTAGGAATGCCACTCTGTTTGTGTATAACCTCAAAACATACCAATTTATTTCTCTGGATGTTCTTGTCATTGTGTTTTTTTCATTGCATGTTGCCAAAACATGCAGTAGTGTATTGATACAAAATTGAGTGGATTCTTTTGTTACATAGAAGGGGTTCCTTGGTTGTGTTTTCCGGACAAAGTCTTAGTTCTTTAGGCTGGGAGCATGAAGAAAAGCATCAATCTTTTTGCTGCAAAAAAAAAAAGGAAAAAAGAAAAATGTTATGTAGATATTAATCTCCAGTATAACCTCAGAGATTTAAAAAAACCTTTTTTAGTTTAAACAGTTTTTAATCTGATTTTGAAACTCCAGTTTCTCTGCATTGAAACAAATGATTATGATTAAATTTTGAAATACTCCTTTGCAACATTGTTTCATGTGTCTGGTAACTTCAGTCTCAAAAAACAGATATTTCATATTGAGTTGTCATTTAAGCATTCCATCTTAGGCAGAGCTGAAATATATTTCTTTTGGCTTCAAAGCATCTTTTGGGCAGACATCTGGGGAGAGATCTTAGAATCCTGAAATAATATAATATAGACTAGAAGGGCAGTCAAAAGGACATCTAGTCCAAACACCTGCTCCAGGTCTAATTAAATCATCTTACTCATGAACTTATGTGAGGAAAAAGTTACCAGTAGTGGCTGCAGGATATATTTACTTCTGTCTCATTTCCTAGTGGATACTGCACTGTTCACAGGAAGAGAAAGGCAAATGAGCTTACTTGTTTGGAGGAAAAAACATTTCAGAATATAGTGATAAATATTTTCGTAGATGAAAAAATATATATAATATTTGATATTAGTCTGAGAAGTGGTCCAGTCTGCCCTCATAATTTCATTATATATTCATTGTGTTTTACAGTTTTGTATTTTACAGTTATATGTTTTACAGCATAGTAAATTCTCATGGATTTGTATTTGCAGTTTCCCGAATGTGGTTTTTATGGAATGTACGACAAAATCTTGCTCTTCCGCCACGACCCTACCTCTGAGAACATTCTCCAGTTGGTGAAATCAGCTGCAGATATCCAAGAAGGAGACCTAGTTGAAGTTGTCTTATCAGGTAACTAAAAAGCAATTAAATTTACTCTCCTTCTTTTGCATATGAAAATATCCAGAGTAGTTTTCTCCCAATTAGATTTTGACCCAGCATAGCTGAGAGTCCATACAACCAAAATTTCTTTTTTCTTGATTCCTTTCTCAGACGTATATACGCATATTATGCCTTTTACCTTTTTTTCTGTTGCTCTGCATATTTTGGAACAAATCCTTTCATCCATATTACTAGTTAATAGTGTTAATGAGCCAGTTAAGTAGTTAATGTTAACATTAATAAGCATTTTGCTCTATGTAGAGTGCTATGAAAATGTCTACTGGAAATAGAGTAATTGCATTTTCAAAGCCCTGGATAATTATGCTTGCCAAGAATGCTCTGACTCTTTACATTATTTTTTTAAATTATAAGAGGAAGGGGAGAGCACAGTTATGTGACTCAAATATAGAAGAAGTCTGAGGATGTCACTGGGTGTCAGTAGGACTTGTCAGAAGCTTAGATGTAAGAAGATGTGAGCTTTGTGACTCGGAATGGTGCAAAGTTTGCATGGGTGTGCAGTAGAGTGAATGTTGGAACCTTAAAGATGTAAAGGTGCTATTTGGCAAGTAAAACTTGGAAGATGGTTGAAGGGCTGAATTTTTGGAACATGCAGTTAGAGGCTCTGGAAAGATGCTTAAAAATACAGAGACATGTATGCCATATGAAAGTAAAACTTGCAACTGTAGAAGAGTGTAGGATTACTGAAGAGAAAGGCCAAGTCCTAATGAATGCTGAAAAGAGTGGAAGTAAGAGTGAGGTCACATTGTCTAAGCCAACTGGGCTTTTAAACATAGTTCTTTTGTGTAGGACCCTATTCCACATTCTTTAGAATAGGATAAAGTGAAATAAGGAATAATGCATGTCATTCCTATAAGTCATCATTCATCTTTTCCATATCGGGAAACAAGTTTTCCACTTTCAAAAAGGTACCAGTAATCTGAACTTAGTATTTCCCACATCAGTAATTGTAATGCAGTGAAAAAAGTTAACAAGGACTTTAGTGCTATATTTGATCATTGCTTGTATGAAGTGTAGATCACATAACTGCTAATTTGCCAAAATTAGGCAAGTAGCTGTTTAAATCTTTAGGGGCAAAGAACACCTAGTGAAATTTATAGTATGTCATGGCCTGACTGATGGCACTAATACAAATTAAAACCTTTAGTTCGATGCCTCGAATTAAGCGTTTCCTTAATAAACACTTGAAACCATTAGTGTCCTCCCCCAAATGAGCTTAAACTAAATGGAGCAATTCATTTTTGCAGACAATTCCTGTGTCATAAAGGGTGGGGAAGTATTCCCAGTTCTGCAACACTGAAAATGAGAAAGAAATGTACAATCAATCTGTAAGGTTTAGGGAATTATTCAAACTGCAGGCAGTTTTTTATTGAATAATATATAGATGTAGTTTAAAATTATTATGGATTTTAGAAATAGTGCATATCGAAGTAGCTGTAGATGGGTTACCTCCTTTTTAATTAAAGGACAAAGTCTATCTAAATAAAGGGCCATAAGAAGTCTTTTTCAGAATGTTTAATAATATGTACCGAAAAATTATTTTGAAGGGATTAAAAAAACCTGGAACAGAAGAGATTGACCTTCAGCACTATAGTGTATGATATTGAGTGCTTGAGCAGTGGAAGGACAAATGATACACAATATACATTCAGATGCTTATGTTGAACTGATTGAAGTATTCTATTTCTTGCCTTCATTATAGAGAACTAAACAGAATATACATTCTAAATTTCTGTAAATTCAAGGTATATTATGGTAATAGTTTTTGAACATCATGTCCAAAAGAGGCAGTAGAACACATTGTTACTGCTATGGCTTTGCTGCTGAAAACTCCATGTGCTTTGGGTCAGCATCCCCTGGGGCACTGATATCTGATGTCAAAAGCTGTACTGATCGACTGCATTCATTTTTTATTGCTGAGGTCAATACTGGTCAGAGTAGAGAAAGCTGAACTGTCAGACCTTGTATTCTGGGTTATACAATTAGTAGTATGCATTTTCAATTTTTCATTGTCATTTATTTAAAACTTTTATTAAAAAAGCTGGACCAGCCATGATTATTTTTTTCATACTGCACATATGTTCTTGGCAGTTTAAGGATTAGTAAATACAATTGTTTTATGGTTTAGAGCTTATATTACAAGTTCTTGAAAGAGCTGAAAATTACCTACAGAAACTTAAGGGGAGAGGTATTGTTCACTGTAGCTGAAGCACCATAGTCCATTTTAGTGAAGAAAATTGTACCTGCAGATGTCATGCAATGTTACTGAAACAGTTTGTGTTAGAGCAAAAGATTTCTGGTGAAACACAAGAAATTTACTCCGCTCATATTACAGCAGCTGCTGTGCTTTTGTATTCCTAATGAAAATTATTGCTTGCATTTTGCACTGGTGCAATAGAACGTAGTATTTTAATGGACTGCAAGAATCATGTAATGTGCTGAACAAATGTTGTGTGTCTGTCTGCTGACTCCTCCAGAGTTGCAGCATAGGCTGTTGCAGTCAGCCAGATGAATTGTGGTTCAATGCCAATATAGATTCTGGCATTTTGGAACTGGAAGGTCAAACATTATTATAACAGTGTATGAGATTTAGTTAGCTGCAAAAAGAGGAAAAGGGAACTTTTATTATGAATGTATAGTAGCTCTAATAAATACGGGTTTCTTCTACTAGAAGTTCTACTTCTGTTTTTTTTCCTTTTATTTTATGTATTTTTAAAAATATCTGTTTGAACACTTTATTTATGGGATTCTGATAGTGTTTGTATAGGAATATGGGAAGACTTGAGAAATGTATTAGAACCAAAAATTTGTATGTTGAATACATTTGGTTTGTTAGGCTGAACTCCTGGGCAGTTATTGAACAGTATCACTAATACCCACTAGTATAACTCATCATGTTTCTGTTTTCTTAGCTGTGTATTTTCTAATTAATTTTTTCTTCAGAATATTGGAAAGTTCATCTTGTCTTCAGATGCACAAAGGAAGAAAATTCTTTGCTACTTTTGTGGAAATCTCTGCTAATACGTTAATTGAATCCAAGATACGCTTCTATGTGTTTCAGAGTGAAAAGCATCTGAATCTTTGGAGAAGGATTTTATCAAAGTGTCTTTGTACAAAGGGTTCCTTTTATTAGAATACCATATAAAAATTAGTAGGCAGCCCAAAATCAGGAAGGAAGGTAGAGAAGTTGCAGTCTAACTAAGTTACAGTCAAAGATGGCTGTAAATGAGTAGTCAGTCAGTTATAAACACTGAAAGGAACAGAAACCAGAAGTTACATCTTTTTAGATCTCTCTCTCAAATGTAGTTTTCCTTTTTGTTCAAGAAAAGAAAGCATGTTGATGTAAAGTGAGTTTAAGCTGAAAAATGTCCTTCAATCTTGATTAAGCGTATCAAGTAGTATTTGCTGAAATCTTCAACTGGATCTCTGAAAAATTAGCTTTCATGTTCCATTCGTGAAATAAAGGATGCAAACATTAATTATCAAAATAATATAATGTAAACTTCACAATAAGTTTGAACAGAATGGATTATTTTTGCTGTGATAAACTCTCTTCTTTTAGTTAACTCCTAGGTTTTTGGAGATCTTTAGTGTTTTGACTAGCTTCTAAAAATAATTTATTTCAACTGCAGTTTGTTGATGCATCGATATTAATGATAGGTGCTGTCCTTAATACCTACCCTTTCTTTGCAGAGAAGTTAAATAGTTAACAAATTTTTGCTTTAAATTGTTACATGAGATATGGAAAGTAGATGAGTTTGCCCATTTCTGAAATGAATAATGTGTTGAAGATACTATTTAAAGATTTCTGTTCATGCAATTGCCACCTTTCATGTGTGTATGTGTGACTTTTTTCAGAATAACTCTATTTGTTGGTTTTTTAAATGGTGGCACAGACTCTAGAACAAGCTGACAGATGAGAATTGCTGTGCTTCTGTACATCTGTATTCTCTTCTTAAATTCTGTTTTTTGATGACTTCAAGGAAACAATTACTTTAGATGTCTTTAGACTTGTTTTTGTCAGTGTAGTTTGTCCTCTTCTGTACCTTGTTCATGAAGTTTATTAAAAACTGCTGT